ATTCAAGTTTCTCAAGCCCATTATCCCTAATCTGCAGTTTCAGAGCACAGGAAGGGAAGTGGAAGAAAATTCCTCCTTCCGAAATAGTTTTGGGATATAATTATTGCTGGGAACCTATTTAATATGCACATTAACTTCTAATATTTTTTCTTTATTAACTAAATCGGTTATGCTCACCACCACCAATAAGGCGGTGTTTAATTTTCTCTATTTGGCTCATCTTCAACTTCCAGTTTTATGCCTACCTTCACAAATTTCCTTTCCTTCATATTTTAGCCATTGAAATATTTTTCAGTGGAATCCCAATAAATGAAATAGGCTCTACCATCAAAGATGGCATCATTAACATTTTTCCACTTTATAAATATCTTTATTGACTTCGTACTTGTTTTTCATTTTAGTTTTCCTAGAACTTGTTTAGTTATTAAAATAATCTGCCTGTGATCTATGTATTATTTGGCATTCTCTTTTCCTTTAAAACTTTTTTTTGATTTATCGACCTCAGTTTTTATTACAGCAAATTTTAAGACCTATATTATTTTTTTAAGTTCTATTTTCCCTGTATTGGTACCTGCATATTTAAAATATTTCTGTTGTGTGATATGATACATAAACCTCTAATAAGTCTTTTCTAAAATAAGAATCACCTCTGTAAGATAATGAGTGTGTGTATATGTTTAAGTTTGGAGACAAAAAAGCAAAGTTTAGGTGTTCCATAGCATCGTGTAGAAATATTTAATATTTTTGTAGTTTTAAATTCTGGAGGAAAAATATCAGGGATCCAAGTTAAGTTTTTTTTTAAAGATTTTATTTATTTATTTGACAGACAGAGATCACAGGTAGGCAGAGAGACAGGCAGAGAGAGCGGGGGAGAAGCAGTCTCCCTGCTGAGCAGAGAGCCTGATGTGGGGCTCCATCCCAGGAATCTGAGATCATGACCTGAGCCGAGGCAGAGGCTTAACCCACTGAGCCACCCAGGCGCCCTCCAAGTTAAGTTTTTAATGGCTAACAACAGAGTCCCATTCAGTTGGGAAAAAAACAATAAGTCATCAGAGTTTTGTATGGCGTGGCTTTTATGTTCAGCAATTAGAGATTTTGTCAGTATTTAGCCCTTTCCCTGTACAATATCCCTTAATTTAAGCTGTATCCCTAGCTTATTATGGGAAAAATAGAGCTTCTTTCTAGATATTAGGCCTTTGAATAAAATTCTCTATGAGGCAGATGTTACCATGCTGTTCTTTCAGTAGTGTTCAGATAGATGTTAGGGTGGTTTCTTTTTCTCCTCCCTTATATTTGGCACAAAGAAATTAGATCCCACCAGATTTTAATTAAGAGGGTCCTTAAAATAAAGATCAGTCCTTCTTTAATTCTGTAAGTACTTTTAAAGCCAATACCAGAAAAACAAAGACATATAAAAGAAAGGAAACAGAAATTGCTAAGAATGAGTGAAAGAATAGTTTTCAAATGGTTAGGATTTAAGGCACTGAAAGTTGTTTCATAGCCTACTAAATAGAGCTTATTTACCCATGTCTTAATATAGCAAGCACTGGGTGTCAGATTTGCAAACCTAAGATGACTAAGACATAGTTTCCTTCCTTACATAAGGACAGACTGGACTGAAGAAGGGGCAGATAGAAGTGAAAAGGGAAGCAATAATATTCACAGGGCAAATTACACAAGTTTTTATGGGAGCACAGAGGAGGGACAGTCTAATTTCTTCTTATGAATGAATCTATTTAGGCAATGTAATTAGATTTTGAAAAAAATTGTTGAAGAATGTGTGAAACAAGTTTCTTTTGTCAGTTTTGGTCAATGTTTTTGGAACAGTAAAATCTGTTGTTTTATGCCATATGCTTTTAGAAAAGTAAAATCTCTTATTTTGGTGGTCCTGGACATCACCACTATTTTCCCTTTGGTTCATGACATTGCATGGGAATAGTGTCAGGAGTGAAAGACTTACTACAGAGCTAAAGGTTGAATGATGAGGTGGACAGTTAGCAGCTAGAAACATTTTCCAAGTGTTGAGTTTTTAACTTTTCCTATGAAGCAGTGAAAAATCTCAACAATGTGAATAGTACTCTATCTCAACATTGCTTTCTAAAAAACTAACAAAAAGAGAAGAAAAACAAAATATTTAAATGAGTCACTAAAGAAAAAAATTCCAAATATGCACATACACATTGGGTATAGCTATTTGAGTCTGTTGGAGACCACGCGGTGGCGCTGCAGGCTAAAGAGAAAAAAGAAAAAAACCAAAAACAAAAAACACACTCACGCTGAACTGGGAATGCTGCGGAAGTCATTAACAGAAAAGGAAGATCAGGCCAGATAAGCTGGGAGAAAACCTGTAGTGGCCCTAGACTGGGAAAGGAAAAAAAACCCAGACCCCTGCATGGCATAGGTCTGGGGATTGCTACTGCTGGTTCTTTAAGCTGGGAGCGTGACTGTGACCAACATTGACAAAAGAGGTGTTCTGAAGAAACAATGGAGGCTGGAACGTTGTGCTGCCCAAGACAAAGGCAAGTCCTATTTCTTTTTCTGTTTGGGGGAGTATCCTTAGCAGGTTCTGGGTTTGGACGATATTCGGTAACAGAGGAAACAGAGAGAGGATCATTTGTTGTCAATCTGGCAAAAGATCTAGGGCTAGGAGACCAGGAGTTGGTTGCAAGGGGAGCCCGGGTGGTCTCTGATGACAACAAACATCACCTGCTCCTGGATTCTCAGACTGGAGATTTGCTTACCAATGAGAAACTGGACCGAGAGAAGCTGTGTGGCCTCACAGAGCCCTGTATACTATATTTCCAAATTTTAATGGATAAGCCCTTTCAGATTTACCGGGCTGAACTGAGGGTCAGGGACATAAATGATCATTCACCAACGTTTCGGGACCAAGAGACAGTCTTAAAAATATTAGAAAGTACAGCTGAAGGGACAGCATTTCGACTAGAAAGAGCAGAAGATGCAGATGGAGGACTTAACGGTATCCAAAGCTACACCATCAACCTGAACCCTTTTTTCCATATTAAAATTAGTGACAGTGATGAAGGCATGATATATCCAGAGCTAGTGTTGGATAAGGCACTGGATCGGGAGAAGCAGCATGAGCTCAGTTTAACACTCACAGCACAGGATGGTGGGACTCCACCCAGGTCTGGGACCACGACAATTCGAATTGTGATCCTGGACATCAATGATAATGCCCCCCAGTTTTCTCAGACAATCTATGAGACCCAGACCCCAGAGAACAGTGCAGTAGGATCTCTTATTGCAAAAGTCTCTGCAGGAGATATAGATTCTGGAGTCAATGCAGACATATCCTATTCACTTTTTGATGCTTCCGAAGATATACGAACAACCTTTCAAGTCAATCCTTTTTCTGGGGAAATTGTTCTCATAGTGTTGCTTGATTATGAGCTAATAAAGTCTTACAAAATAAGTATACAGGCAATGGATGGAGGGGGGCTTACTGCAACATGTACAGTTTTGGTGGAGGTATTAGACGTCAATGACAATCCCCCTGAACTGATCATATCATCACTTTCCAACTATGTTGCTGAGAACTCTCCTGAGACGGTACTCGCTGTTTTTAGAATTAAAGACAGAGATTCTGGAGAAAATGGAAAGATGCTTTGCTACATTCAAGATAATCTGCCATTCCTTCTAAAACCCTCTGTGGAAAATTTCTACATCCTAATGACAAAAGGAGGGCTGGACAGAGAGAGTC